GATAGCTTTTGATTTAATGAACATTTATTATGAGTATGACAATTACTGTATTTCTTTAAAGGTAAACGTAGTGTTTGACATTTTTTTTTGTGTTTGACTTTATGACTTTTGATTTAATGAGTGTTTATTATGTGTATAGCAATTATTGTGCTTCTTTAAATAAAAACACAATATTTATTTAATTATTTATTTTTTACGTTTAACTCAGTGACTTTTAATTTAATTAGTATTTATTATAAGTATGACAATAATTGTGTTTCTTTTATTATAGGTATGGCAATTATTGTGTTTTTTTTAACAAAAATACAGTATTTGACTTTTTTTTTATTTGTTTAACTGTATGACTTTTTATCTAATAAGTATTTATTATGGGTATGACAATTACTGTGTTTTTTTTTAACAAAAACATAGTATTTGTCATTTAATTTTTTTTATCTGTTTGACTTGATGGCTTTTGATTTAATGAGTGTTTATCATGGGTTTGTCAATTATTGTGTTTTTTTTAAGCTAAACGCAATAATTCTTCATTATATTTGTTCAATTACTGTATTTTATGCATTTCTTGAATGAAATTAATGCAGTAATTGATAACTATTTTTTTTATAATTGGTCACTTGAATACTACATTTCATGCATTTCTTTAATGAAATTAACATAGTAATTGATGTATTGTTGCGTTTGTTATGTAGTGAAAGACATTAGAGTAAAAATTTATGATTCAATAATCTCAAATTTTCCCAAACCAAACACAGAAATCTAAAAATGGGATGCAATGAAAAATCATACTTCCTTGGGAATCACACTTTCCCTGAAATCTAAAATTTTGTAAACTAAATGTCCCATTAAAAAATTCAATCGAATAATGATCAATAAGAGAAGTAATTTAAGAAATGAAAGAATAAGACGTGAAGGTAAATCAAGTTTTGAGGATGAAACTTTTTATACGGTGAGAAGAATGTAATGGCTCTTACTCAAATGATAATTGGGCTAGATTATTATTAGAGCTCATTAATTTATTTAAAAGATTAACTATAGAAAAATGGGCTAAGGTCTTTTATGAAAGAAAACCTAACCATCTTTATTTAATAATGAAATAGAAAAAAAAAATGAGAGCTTTTTTTCCTTATTTTCCTTAGGATTAAAGAGCTTGAAAAACTAAGTTAGGGACATAAAATCAAAGGCTATAATTAGATTAATCTCCTAAATGTGAGTATTCGCCCTCTTTTTATTTAAGAAAAGTATCATATTGATTGCTATTATTTGAAGTCAAGTTTATGAGAGAAAAACTTAAAAAATTTATAAAATCTCTCGTTATTCTTCATTGTCTATTTGGATAAATTATTAGTCTTTGTTTTCTTTAGTTTATTAAGATTTAATGATAATTATTGAGTGGATTTTAAAGGTTAAAAATGGGGATTTAGGTTTTTAAAGATTGAAGAAGAAATTTTGTTTTTGGATAAAATGTTATTATCTACAACAATGAATTAAAATAAAATTCTGCATGAATAGATAAATTATTACTATAATTATTACATGTCTTTGGAAAACTTGTTGAATCTAATTTTCCAACAAAACAAAACAGAAATTAATTCTGAGTTTTCTATGAAGAATTGTTTAATTTTTACTTAAAGATGTGTAGGCTGCCCAACAACAACAACAACAACAAAGAAAATTTACGAAAATTTTGTATTTTTATACAATGAATTACGAATTGAACCATATATATTTAGAAAGCTTATAGAGTTTATTTTTCAATGAAATAAGTAGATTGAATTCTGAGTCTCCTACGAATAAATATTTAATTTTTATTAAAAAGTATACAAGATATTTGGCAACAACATATGACATGGATTGTAAAAATTATTATAATTAATCTACACGAAATTACAAGATGGGTCATATATGGTTAAAAAGTTTATCAAGTCTAGTTTCTATTGCACCAAAAATATCTTATTCTAAGCTGTATCACTTTAGATAAGGTCATTTTAATGAAAGGAACATACGTTGCCAGTATTAATTAATTGAGTTAACCCTTATATAACTTAGTTCTTTTTTAGTATAATGGTCTAAAAAAAAGTTAATTAATTTCTGGTATGTTGAAATGATCTTAACTAGGTCGTTAATTATTTTTGGGGAAAAATTAAGTGGTGGAATCGAAAAGAGAAAAATAGAATCTCACATAAGGTTGTAAACAAATCGAATATGAATGAACGAACGTATGTTTATGGTTTGTTCATTTATTTTTAGAAGTGTTGGGGCTCAGTTTGTGTTCAATAAAAAAATTACTCGATTCATTTAAATGATAAGATATTCACGTTCGATTCGTGTTTAGTTTGGGTTCAGTTCAATCAAGTTAAACGAGCATATTCGTGAACATAGTGAATATTAAGTGAACATGTTCACAAAAATATAAATGAACATGTTCATAAACAATAAACAAATCATAACTAAATAAATTTAAACAAACAAACTCTAAATGAACATAAATGAACCCAAACGAATGTAAACGAACTTTAAAATAGGATTAGAATAAAGGATAAAAATGTAATTTTATTAGTATTATTATAAACAAATAGCAAACGAAAACAAACGAACAATAAATAAACGAGTTTATTCACGAACATAAATAAACCGAATAGACATCTGTTCATATTTGGTTCGTTTAATAAACTAACAAAAAAATACTATTCAAAATTATTTATTAATCTTAATAAACGAATATAAACTAATAAAAATCGAACATGTTCATGAATAGTTTTTTGAAAGCTCTATTAGTTTGTACCCCTAATCTCATACACTTTATTTGTTTTCGAATTTATGTATATATATATGTTTCTAAAAAAGTGAAGATTTTATTTATTTATTTTTTATATATGAAAATATGATCAAACATATAATTATTTTACCTTTTGCTATAAAAATTATGGATCACGCTTATGAATTAGATTATGTTTAAAGAATGATTTTATAATAGTTACGAATTTGCATTCCTGAGAAGTGGAATCATCGACATCAGGACTAGTTTTATGACCATAGCTAACGAGTTATAATAATTAGTATAGCCAGGATTATAAGCTCTAACTTATAATAGTTAGCATAAGACCTTGACTAATGGGTTATAATAGTTAGCAATAATCATAAGGATGAATTATCGATATAGTTATTGTCACAGGTTATAATAGTAATCGTAACTAATGATTAACTAATTATAATGATGATGAATTTAGGATTTTGCAAATTGATCTATGATATGCATGAAGTTATATTTGACCATGATTTACGATTTATAACTGATGAAATAATATGTTTGATATCATATCAATTCTTTGAATGTTTAACTAAATATTTTGGAAGCATAATTTGAATAATATTTTTGAATGATCTATATGTATATATGAAAATTATACTTAATTTAGTAAGGTATATGAGTTTGTACTTGCTGAGTTATGATTTATTCATTCTCTTTTTACTTTTTCTTTACAAATGAGTAAGTGATAAGTTTACTTTATCTTGTGAAAAGCTAAAAAATCAAATTAAAAAGTCGTCGAAGATATTGTTACCAATGAGATTTTACATAACAATTTTATATTTTTATTAATTTGCATTTGAATATATGAAGATTTATTGTTAATTTATTAAAAAATTTTAGAATGATTGAAAAAAAAAATTTCGTATTATTTTGAGATTTTTTTTAAGGTAATATAATCATATTGTATCTTGATCTAAAATGTGACAAAAAGAACTTCTAAGTCTCAAACCTTAAATTTAATTCATTCAAAACTTAATTTAATTAATTCATATAATTAATTTTAAAAATGACATTCAATCTTAAAATTTATAATTTTTTTTTATCTTAGAGTAAAGCCTCCTTTATAAAATAATAATAATAATAATAATTTTTAATTCTCAATTTTGATTGTTACCAGCAGCTTATATTTAAATGATGCACTTTATTTTGAATGATAGTGCAAATACTTTAAACTTATTAAAAAATGAATGGAATACCGATGAAATTTGAAAAGGTATGTATTTAGCGATAAGAAAAAAAGAAATTTATTATTAGTTTAATCCTCCTTTCTTTGTTTTCAATGCAAAGAACAGTGGCTTACAGCAGCTATGGAAAGAAATTGTGGTGAAGAATTTCGCCGCAACAATAGGCTTTGGCAAAATTATTTTGAGCAGATGGACGGATTATATAAATATACATATATTCCTGTTCTCGGGGCTTGGTCAGTGGAGTGAAATCTTGTTTTTCTTAATGAAAGGGTATCCAATGCATGCGTGTCTCTGTCAATTTGACCTGATTAGCTTTGTCATTTTCATCGGAGTCGAATGCCAAAATATCTAACAAGCCCAGGCTATTCTCAACCTTCCACCAGAAACTTGGTAGTTTTGAGGAATACTATGCTGTCACATGCATGAATCATATATTTATTTATAGGAAAAATTTATATAAAATTTTATATGTGAAGTTTATGAAATTTTTAATTAAAAATGAATAAATTAAAATAAAAATTAATAAATTAAAAGGTTTTATTGCATAAATTAAGTATAAAATTTTTAATAAATTTTAATAAATTTTGATATATTTATTAAATAAATATTTTTTAATAAAAATATGAATAAAATTTTTATCATTGAATAAATATTAATCAAATTTAAATTATAAATAATATTTTTAATAATATTTTTATATATTATTAATTTTTACATTAAATTTTATTTATTTAATTTTTTATTAAAATTTTTATTAAATTATTTTAAAAAAAAAACTTTCACCAATTTGATCTATATAAGTTCATATAAATTTTATCCTATATTTAATTGCTTACGAGCAGCTGGCAGCAGGTAAAATACTTTTACATAAAGGAATTAATTTGAAGGTGGATGGTCAAAAAGAATTTAGGGAAAGTATACAAATCAGCCGAACTACTGCTTTAACTTTTTTTAACAGATGATACTCTATGACTTTTTGCTGTCAAATTCTCACATCCTCAGAATTTCCTGTAAAAAGAAGCTACTCAGCTTTGAACATTTTGAACAAATGAAAAGAACAAATTGAATAAACCCAAAACCCTTTTCTTAAACAGGCATAAGTAAGAAAACAAAATCAAATAATCACACAAAAAAGTTTCAGAAGAAAACATTATTCCTTTGATCCACAACATCTACGCTAGCAGAGCAAGAAAGCAACCTATTAAAAAACCTAAACAATACAACCTTCACTTTCCTCCAAACCAAACACTTCCTTAGGGTACGTCTCTTTTGGCTGCTTTTCCTCCTCCCATGAGCCGCGCCCACCTTCTCTTTAACTCTCCCAAAGCATTTCACAGTCTTTTCAGGCACAGTTTCTTTCCTGGAAAACCTATAGCTCCTCAGATACATCTGCCTACAGGAGATAATGTCAACAACTCTAGGATCTCCATGCAAGCCTGACCTCCTTGACCTCACAAACTCTGCGTCCGACTCTGGCCACTTGTAAAGATTCACATAGGTTGCCCTGACAGGCATCCTGGGGTCTCTAGCATCATTCAAACAACTAGAAATGCAAACAGAACTCATTTCTTCACCGGATTTTTTCTTTTTTTGGAGGGGTCTGGGTATAAAGTAGATCAAATTTATGAACTCGGTTTTTGGAGTTTTAAGCTTGATCAAAGCTTATATTGCAAGAAAAGATATATGGTATAATGAAAAGAAAGAAAAAGGAGGTAAGCAAGGAAGAGATGATGGGGAAAATGGAGTTGGTTCCAAGTGGGACTTATTCATGGCTTCATGCCATGATTTAACATAATTAGCAGCAATGAAGGTGTTTTTTCAGCAATGGCGTGGGCTGTTAGGCAAAGAGTGGATAGGCTAATGATGTTTATTTTATTGACCAAAAAGGGCCGCCATGCAGTAGATTTATGGTTGGAGTATAAGTAGGAGTTTCAATAAGGCGTTGGGGGGTAAATATGTAAAACCAAAAGGACTTAACTGAGTCAACAAAGAATAAAATCAAATACCCTTGTAATTAAATACTTAACTACTAACAAAATTTTCACACTTTGATTCATTCATATGGCAGAGGATCTTTGATGTCGAAATCAACCTAATTTATCATTAGTCAGTTTCATATTCATAACGGTGAAAGTGATTAAACTACTACAAGTTTGTTGGTCCGACTCTCTTCCAAAATTATACACAACCGTTATTATTCTTTCTTTTTTTTTTTCATAAGAAACCATAACAAGATGATGAAAAAAAAAACTTTTATACGTACTAAAATTTAAACTTTAAGTTTATTAAATATTAAAAATAATTATATGAATTAATTAAAATAAATTTTAAATTAAACTATTATTATCCATTTACATATGGCTCACAATTGATTAATAAAAACTCTATAAACATGATTGACGTTTAATTTTCATGTGTAATAAACTAGTTTTTTAAATATATTCAATTACTAGCTTGAAAACCCAAATATCATGTTTTCTTAATTAATTATGCATTCTTCATCTTCCAGCCATATTATTTTGTATCCTTTTGATGTCTACTAAAATTTTTGTCATGTGCTGGAGTTTGGAATTTACTCTCCAATGCCTATACAAGGCTAGTTTTATGTTCATCCATGAATCAGAGTTGGATCAATTTGTTTCTAATAGTTTGTCTTGTTTTTTTTTTTTTTTTTATCTTTCTTTTATGAGCAAATGAAAATAATTTATTAAAGAAAGAAATAAATTATTTCAAATTAGATACAGCTTTGACAATTGCTAATATATATTTTTTTTAACACAGTCAAGGCATCTTTAAAATATAGTCGAAACTAATCCATTTTCAGACGATTTTTAAAATGCACACTATCGTCTACCAAAACAATTATGCTTTAAATTCTTTAAAAAAAAAATTGACAACTTCAAGCCATTTGAACAACCATTTGGCCCATTTCTCTTTTTATAGAACTGATGTAGCCGAAATGCCTTAGGAGTTAAGACCTAATTGATTCAGCACAACTAAGGCCTATAAAAGAAGGCCTGAATTACAAGGAGAATCCTTTCATTTCTAAAAGTTGAAGCCCAAGCCTAAGTCCATAAATTTTTTCCTGGAAGCACCCAAAATAGGCAAGAAGATGTAATTAATGGGGCCCCAACAGCATTCAATGATCACCCCATGTTTTGATGACATTGACCCTACAGAAGCATCCCAAGTTAAGCTCTGTTATTACGCATTTTAAATTTGTGAACCCCAACATCTTTTTCAGTTTTTCTTCCCTGTCTTTTCTATTTCTTGGTTTTTTTCTCAAACACTGTACGTCAGCCTGACTTTTTGCTGATTTAACATGCTCTTTTATTTCTTTGTTCAATTTCTTGTGATTTTGAGTTTTTAATAATACTTTGTATCATTTGCATTAATTAACCAAATCAAAAAGGTTATGCTCTAAGTAATTTCTAACTGCCCTTTTTTTTTATTCTCTCCTACATCAACAAAAGGCATTTGTTGAGAAATTTGGAAACCCAAAACACAACATCCGACATCAACACTAGATATTGTAGATCTTTTGTTGTGTTCTAAGTTTCTTGGTCCTTTCCAATTTGCCCCTTTTAATTAATTAGTGGGGACATTTTTTCTCTTTACTAGTGAGTGAACCTGAATTTTGTTCGATGTGTTAAGTTAATTTTTAGTATTTTATGTGTTAAAAATAATTTATTCTAAATTTAGTAACAAAATTTTAATATAAAATTAAATAAAAAATATTCATTGTTATAGCAAATATAAAGGTAATCAATTTTAGAGAAAATGTACAACCGAATATCTTATTCATAGTCAAGATAGATAACTACTCAAAAAGTATTATATACAATCATAGTAAATAAGCAGCAGTAGTTGATCTTTAAGTGATTATCAATGATAAATTTTTTTATCATTCTAAAAATGTTTTGTTTCTGTTATTATTGGTTTAAGATTTATCTCTTTGAGGAATTAATAGAGTTATAGAAGAATTTCTATCTAATAGATGTTAGCGGAAACTCCTGAGAATATGCTGTAGAAAAAATGTAATGAGAAATTGTTAATAGGTATTTTGAATGTGTGCTTTGTTATGTAATATTGTTATAGTATATGCATGATTGTTTATCAAGATGGGATGATCATTGATGTTTGCACTGATCATCAAGCAATGAAAAGTAGGATTGTCAAAGTAGCCATCATTTTCATATTTTGCAAAGTTAAATTGAGTGTTATAATTTGAAATACAAAATATAGTAATTGTAATTTAAATGAATTGAAATGGAACATAATGTTGGTAAAATGAAGCTTTTACCTTGTTCTTGTTGCAGAGCATTTGTTGTAATAGTGTTAGTGATTAAGGATGCAGGAACACTTGGAAATTGTTTGGATTATTATATGTAAAAAACATGATATTTTGATATGCAAACTGATGTGTAGTAACAAATTCATGCCATTCGTTTTGAAGATATATTTTGCTGTTGATTTTTGTCAATTCCATCTTGATTGCATTTGGGAGAAAACCCTTTATGTGGATAGTTCTTAGGCTTTCCAGTGTCAATATGTGTTGTTGAGTGAAATTTTTTGGAAGTTCCTATAATTATATAGGGTTTTGATACAGTAAAAAAAGATTATAATTGATTGTAACAAATATAGATAAAGTAACTAGAAAATAGCTAAGAAATAAATGTATGAATGAAACAAGAGTTTAATGCATATGGTATTAATACTGTAATCAAGCATTTAAAGTTATAAAAGGCTGTTCAATTTATTTTTTTTTGTTAGGTGATGTATAGTTGATGACTAAGTGTAGATTTTTAATAATATATCTATAAATATAAGAAATTGTATGATAAATTTAAGTTTAGTTTGAGCATAAGTTGGATGTCAATTTTAGCATAATGTGGACTGTTTTAAATACTATTATAATAGTGTATTACTTTTGAAAAAGGGAAGACAAGAAGGAACAATGAAACCATATTCAATTTCAAGATTTTCGCATGTTTACTTGAAATTTATATTGTAGTAACAGAAAATGCATATATTACATTTATCATGACAAATGTGATGGCATGTTCAATACTTGTTTTACCAATTATGAATATCATTGTAAGTGACATTAATATAAAGTGGAAGAAACAGATGTCCTTAATGAACCATGTTTTATTAATCTGGATTTTCCTCTTTGCTACAGGAAGAGAGAGAGAGAGTCTCTATAACAACAGATGTGAGAAAAATAGTAGGTGTATGTGTAGTTTGACCATAAGCTAGATCCTAATATTAGTATAACATGGATCTTATTTTAGGGATTGTAATTGTGGTCGAGGGTTTATTGTGCCAGTGGTATATTTTTTATGTTTATTTTCAAAAGATTTTTAGATATGAGTACTTTGTTATGGTTGGAAATTAGTTTGTTTTAAACTAAAATAGATTTTGATTCTATCGTAAGTTGTATCCTAATTTGAATATAGTTTAGAACCCCAAATCAAATGTAAAGGGGAATATAAAGAATGAATAGTTTGTGATTTAAAGAAAGAAGTTGTATTGAAAACGATTTTACCGTTATATCTTGAATGATGTCTTCGTGGGTCAAAAACTTTAGGAATTATGGTAATTGTTGTAGGTTCACTGTGTTTTGCGTTATAGAGGAACTTTGAGCCATCATTGTCTTTTTGGTAAAGGATCAGTTGTGGTAGGAATATCTATAAGGATTTTTGGTATCTATGGGTATGGGCTTTTAAAGCTGTGGAAGATTTGTGTATATGGGTTGTTGTGGTTGAGAAAGCTAGCATTATGGTTAAAAAAGTTATCATTTGTAGACATCAATTTTGTTCGAGTTTTGGTTTAAATTTTGAGCTTTATCAAACTTATGGGCCAAGGTTCGATTTTTTTTTGGGCGAGCCCATTCATGGGCTAAGACTGATTTTTCTTTGGGCCTGAGCCCATTGTTATTGTTTTTCCTTTTTTAGATATTAATAATAATATTAAATATTAACTAATTAATTAATCTAAAAAAATTAAAAAAATACGAAAAAAAAACAAACAGAAAGCTAGCAGGGGGCTGATGCCTGGCACCAGTTGCCCTGAAGCCTCCCGACCAACCACCTCCGATCCAATCCCCTCACCAGCAACCTTACAACCTGCCCTAGCCTAACCTACAGCCACTATTTACTCTACTCACTATCCCAGGTAGGCTAGCTTTACAAAACACCCAGCTTTTTCCTTTGTGCCAAGAGGCTTTTCCACTGGACACTCTCCTCTTGGACATATCTTCGGACACTTAGAAACCCATTCATTCTACCTCTACTAGAAACCCCTAAGCTTAGATACCCTGCCCTCCACCTACCAAAACACACCAGAAACCCCCAAGCTCTAGAAACTTAACCTTGGCCACCTCATCTAGCCTCTGCCAGAGAACAACCCCACTCTCAACTGGAAGACCCACCCTATGAACAAGCACCCTCTCGGACCAGTTACCTTGCCTAAGCCTTGTGCACACACATCTTCAAAGACACAAAAAGCTTACTTTTCATCATTACCTGACCCCTCTTTTAATAAGTTCAGTACCCACACTAACACCCCATCTCCTTAAAGCCATAGCGTCTTTCCCTTTCAGAGGACTTTCCCTTCGGACAGACCTCTCAGACACATTTTTAGATACCAGAGACCCAACTCTTGTACATAGACACCTAAAAACCTCATAGCACTTGCATTCAAACCAAGTCTCCCATGTTCAGAACCCCAATGCTCAGCGCCCAATACCACCATAGCACTATTAAAACCCATGGATCAAACCTTCATCACACCCTACCAAAAATCCAAACCTAGTGCCACACATCCATTCCTTGCACCTGAAACTATCACACCAGCCTTCAACAAAAACCCCTAATCCATTGAAAAGCTAAAAACCTAAAACCAAATAATAAAAAAAAATAACAGACTTCTCTGCAGGAAGGAACCTAACATCAA